CCAACGAGTAAATTCCATTGAGGCCGAGTTTCTCTCGAATAATACCGATTCCTTTGAATCAAATTTGATTGCTTACATTTTTCTTTGTCATTCCCTGGCTGATTAATACATTCAATCCACAATGCGTGGTATAATTTCATACAGAATGAGGCCCTCGGTGAGCAGTTTTCCAGTTTATCTAAGAAAAATTGCAAAATTTTCTACAAACCGGATTGGTTCACAGCAGAATAAATACAATCCGGAAGAAGCCAGTGACTAGAGAGATGTTGAACAATAGTGTGAAAATGATTGTCTATAACCGCCCAACTCAGTTCAGAGTAGAAGAAATATCACTGCTTTTCACCTTTACGATAGGTAGCTCGTTTTCGCAATCTTTCGTGGTACCACAATTGTGGATTGAATGTATTATTCAGCCAGGGAATGACGAATAAATGTGGTTTCTATTAGCTAGTGAATATGTTCGAATTTGATCTTACCTTTCGTATGAAATACTGTTACTTCATTCACCATTGTTACCGTTGTTAAGTACCTTATCAAGTGTGCCTTTAACTTATCCCTTTTGGTTGTCAACATTTGAAATTATCTTCTCGTTGATCGGATTTCATCCACGGCAAGAGAGCTGTTCTTTTTGATGGACGGACAGGACTTGTATTATGTGCTTGATGCTGTTGTTGTGGTTCTTCCATGGCGTGTTTCGCGTGGGTCGAGATATTGATTTGTTCTGCCTTGAAGCTGACCTATAGTAATTGGAATACTAGGAATTTTTTGTAACACGTCTGATTTCTCATTCATCTCTTATGCAATACATGATAATTTACTTGCTAAATTTGTATAATTCGGGTTTTGGAATTCGAAGTGTGCTGGGTTTGTAATTACATACCATCGCGTTCTTGAGCGTTTATGTGTGTGCAGTGATGACGCTTGGCTATCTAAAATTGGAGACCTAGATTTTTACCGTAGAAAATTGGTGTTTTTGTACTCGGTGGTGGTGAACTTGACAGAGACCCATCTACTGCGCTGTTATTAAGGGAATTCTCTATCCTCCAGTTTCAAATTCGGAAACCAGAGGAATGAGAAAAAATAGCTCACTAGATAAAAGATGTAGAAATCGGTCGTGTGGTTTTTGTTCTTTTTGAAAGTCTGTTTTTCTACCGGAATCCATTATGTCAATTAATAGGTTAATGATTAATAAATACGTAGTAAAAATCTATGGATCTGCAAGCACTGCTGTTCAAGGCACCGAACCATAGTCCCTGAATATCGTTCTTTAGGAAAATTCCTAATTCTTGCTTCCACTACCGCAAGGGATTGACTTACTCCTTCTGTTTCGAGTTAATTGTATTTATTCACAATCATAAGCGACCCGTTTCCCACATCCTGTGTCAGTTTGTCCACTAGGTAACACTTTACTCCCCGACAAATTTCCCCATGACACCTACCGACTACTTTTTTTGACTGTAGCCATCGTTGATGGTTAAGCACTTGGTGTGGTGTGGACACATGACTATTCAATTATCGAAGTTCGGGCTCGAGGGCAATGATTTATGCTAAAACATTCTCACTGAATAAGATCGTATGAATCCCCAGTTGCGCCGTAGTGCATGTAACGTAGTGTTCACACTCCTATCCAAACTATTCGCTCTGCTATTCAGAATTTCAAACCTCCGTATGAACCATGCTTTGTTACTCCTCTAGCTGATATCGTAGCATTTTTTGTTGCGCAGATCTCCCCGACTACGCGGTTCCTCTGGTTTCGCGGGATCCGCTTTCTGGTGATCTGACTTCGAATTCGAGTGCCGGAAAGGACTCACATCATACAGAACCACCACCCGGGATACCTACTAGTACCGCGTTGCCCCATGTCGAGTCTGTGCTTAATCGGTCTGGTGTCGAATCTTTATCCGCAAGTAACGTATCCCCTTGCTGGCAACGGCTTTTTAACTATGTGGAGTTGTATACAACCGTCCCAAAGACTAGAATGGTCATTCGAAAGGCAAGTTTTTTATAATTTGCACCGTATCTTATCTTTCTGATTTGCTAGTCGTGTATAAATACCTTAACGTTAGCTATATCTCATACCCTGCCTCTCCAAGCCTCGTTCAAAACAACCGCTGTCCGTACCAATCTTTTCTCTAATATCGGTACAATTGCTTGATGACGACTGATTTTCAAACGCACTGGCGAATACCCATTGTTTTCAGATGTTTATTGGCATGTAAATCATCACTTCAGCTCATTCGACCAATTGGTTTTGCACTTCCATGTTCCAGTTTTAATCGCTATCTGTTTATCTTTCTTTTGATCGTGTAATCAAGATCAAGATTTCAAATAACTGACTGGTTTAGTATTACGAAGTCCGGCTGTTAATAACCTGTACATTCGAACCTCACACCTTTTTGTAACGAGTGATATTAGCGTCATTCGACTACATATTATTTGGTCCTTAAAATCTCAACACAAAGTCAAATCCTGATTCCCAGTAAATCTTCAACTGAAAATACTTTCACTAGACACGTAAAACAACGTGTTATCCAGTCTTTCTGTTTCAGTTATTGTTATCTGCACCGATTCTGCTCTTCACAGCCCGTTTCCTCTGCGGGGGGAAATACTGGAATGCCCACTATCACAGAAGAGGATCGGAGCTGCTTCCCTCCGTCCGAAGCGAGCGCCGCCGCGCCGCTTAGGATAAAAGTTCCATCGGAATCACATCATTTTGACTATGGAGCGTCACCGGGCACTGCAACTATAAAAGTATGTTCGTTATTGTCTAGTGTCATCGGTGGTTTACTTTATTCACTTTGCCTTTACGATTTCGGATGGATGTTCATTCATTCTCGGACTATTATATCTCATCAGAATGTGATGCACGACTGAATGGCGCACTTGAGATGCACAATTCTTATTTGATTTATTCGTTCGTATAGAGCCAAACTATAACCGGTAATATGAAAAATACTATGCCCAGCATCGAACATTTAATGTTGGGTTTCATCCTTTTTTCTTCACGTATTCTCATCTGACAGTTTTTTTAAATGTACATCGCTTGATTGCAGCAAACCACTGCGTCATTGGCTCGTCGATTGCTCCCAACCGTAGCCTATCGTCCGTTGGGCGAGGATGTTGAAATCGGCGTTACAACCACCTCTCCACAAGTATCCCAATCTCAGGTTCCAGTTTCCATGCCACCTGATTCACTTCATCCTGCGATGGCTCTTTCATCAGGTGTTCATGGTACACACCTGACCGAACCAACGCATGCTGGAGTGAGCCCGAGCACATTCTCGCAAGACCTGTCCGATGGAATACCAACGCAGCGCACACCGTCCACAGGCGGTTTGCGTATGCCACCGGAGACACGTGTCCCTGCTGGCGCATTTGAACAGTTCACCTATCCTTGGATTTGCAGTGAGCGCCTGCCACTGTCTATTTTTCTCACAGCCAAAGTCCATCAGATGGCTGTCACTGCCGTCCTAAGCGAATTGAATTTGAGCGCTGGTGTACGAAATGTGCACGGTTCTTTTGTCCACTGCACCCAAGTTCGAGGACGTGGTGAGTAGTAGTTCTAGCCATATCCGATTCGCTTTCCTGTCGAAATAGTTTTTGTTTTTCATTTGTTTTTATTAACAGATCATACCATCCATGCATCACTCCATGTTCAATGTAGATTCATCAAGTGCGGATTCGCGATAAATTATTCGCTTTGTCTTTGATTTTTGCTTGCACAACTTTGAATTCGTGTTCCATCATGCCTTGGTTTCGATGAATGTCTTTTGGAAATCTACTTGTTCATTGGTCAAAACAGGTGAAAGCTGAACAGAATTCTGTCATATATTGGTGCATTTTGCCATAACAAAATAAATACTCGTCCTCAACATGAACTCAAGCAAATATCACTGCTTTATGGAATGGTATTTCGACCAGTCGGCTTCACTTATCCCGAGAACTCGTTCCAGTAAGCCTATCGCTCCGTGATTACCTTGTGTTCCCAGTGTTCCGATATCTAAGATCACCCTTCTTAGTCGAAACTTGTATTCCATGATATGTAAAGTCAATACGAAGCGAGTTTCATCCTACTGACTCGCAGATTGTCGTCTACAGTACAAGTTCCAGCGAAATTCTACGGACTGTTCTCCATTGAAATAGACACGTAACAGGGTATCTATCGTTTCAACCATCTCATCCATTTTCAAGTTGCTTCAGTGGTATTCCCTGTATAGCAGATGACATTCCTCTGAATGCCACGCAGAATTCGGAAATTCTGGGTCCGTCAGCTACAAAAACATGCAAGAGTATTCTAAAACTGCTCAGAGTAGAGACCTGCTCGACAAAGTCTGTTTTCTCCGCGGAAATCCTGGTTTGAGCGGACGTGTTTGTGTTTGGTTATCGCCAATTTGGCTACATTTCCAACTAAGCTTATCCCTCGGTTCTTCTCAATGTTCGTCTTGCATCACTGCTTGCAAATAGAGAATAATATTGGGATGAACCAATATTTTGGTAATACTCGTGTTCCCCAACACACACGACCTCGGAAAAGAACGTTAGTTTTGAGTAATCACAGGAACTGCGGCGGGAAATTTGTCCAGCAGTAATCCAACTTAACATAGAGGCACTTTATCCATGCCCCGGGGAATTACAGTTTTTTCTAATTAATGCGCTACTCTAATTTTTGAGATGCACAGTGAGTGGTGTCCGCATGATTTCTTGTGATAGTGTAATTGTAATTATAACTTCTGTCGACATTAAGTCTACATTGCAGGTAAAAATATACAGATTAGAGAGAAAGATATAAATCCCGAAACTTTGAACAAAATCTGTTCTTTGTTAACTAGAATACGTGCTTAAGAGAGTACCGTGGAATTACGATGTAAGTTTATTCGAGAGGAAACGCAGCGGTATTGGGACTTGTTTGACGGATGGGAACAACAAAAGGTTGAATCTGTGCGTATCGGATGTGTGCAGTCGGTAAGAATCCTGTATGCAAACTTTTCACCTGCATTTAAATGAAGTTGGCACAGGTTAGTTACCAACTCATCCAGCGAAACTGAGGAGACGCGGCTAATGATGGTCGGTCTGCATTGGAGGAGTTTACGATTTCTTTTAGGAAATTTGAAAAAGTAACAGGTACAACGGGAAAACTACACTAGTACACCAACCGATTGTTGATTACAAAACAGGTGGAGTTTACGGATATGTAAAGATAATCGTCGAAGTTTACTTACGATATGCTGAATCCTAGAGTTTCAATGAAGATTAACATCAATCAAAACCCCCAGGCATTTAATACTGCTTACCCGGGATACTGGTGCAAAGCCCATCGATACCGATTTAGATGGGAAAGCAGAGCGTGATAATGTATGGAGACATTCGAAACATTTGGAGATATTAAAAGTGACCCGGAAAATTGTTGAACGTTTCCTAAGTTATCAGAAAATTGAGAAAGACTAGAAGAATCGGATATGGCCTGGCCTAGAACCAGATTGTCAGCGTATTTGGAGAGAGAAGTAGTGGTGTTAGCAGACAAGTCGCTGAGACGGGGAAATGATTGCATCTTGGAGTATCCCAGAATTGTTCATCCATTGATTTTGACTTCCTCCGACCTAATCTGGCATATAGAGTTCTCCCGGAGAAGAAATCAGCAGGCCAAGCTAATAACTGCCTAGGACAACCGAATATCTTCAGTTTACGAAGAAGAAGCGAACGGGGAATACAATCCAAAGCAGGCGAGTAGTCCAGAAACACAACGAAAGTATTTCGCAATTATTTCAAGGATTTGATAATTTTATATGCGAGTGAGGAAAGTGCATCTAGCATGCATCTGTTTGGTTTATAGGCAAACTGAAGAGGTTCATAAGGAACATTAAGTGAGGACTGAATGCGAGTAAGGATAACACATTCTTCTAGTTCAAGACGGTAAAGCGATAGGACGGAAGCATTTGGTGCGAACGTTTGAAGTAGAGGATTTGGAATGAGAAGGATTGTTGCCAATTTCCAACAGTCTGGTGTGGAGTAGGTTTTTAAGAAAGTGTTCAGAATTGATGCTAATATCTCACTGAAAAATAGGTTCCATATCTCCAAAGGGAAGGGGCAAAATGTTCTGGGTGATTCGTAATTACCTTGTCTAAATTGATTCACCTTTTGTGGGGGATAGGTAAATGTCCGGTAGGTCAAAAGAGGTTATGGGATGAATGGATGCGTGGTTGAAGTCACCAACTACAATGTGGAGACTTTCGTCAGTCAGAGGACCGAATGATGGAAAAACGCATCAAGGAAGGATGAAATGTGAAAGTGGATACAAATAGGGACTGTGTATAGATTTTTATGGTTGTGCTTCTGTATCGCGAAAATTTGGATGAACGATGAATGTCCAAACAGTTGATGCCATCGGTGTAATAATCAAAAAAGAACTTCAGACTTATCGCTCCAAAAATAATTGGTGTAGGTGCTTTCTCCACCTCTTCTTACACTGTCTTCTGTCCTTGCCGAAGCATTTGAAACCATTCATTTCCAACCGATGAGACCTCGACATTTTGAGCAAGCCAGGATTCTTGAAAACAAACGACACGTGTTACGGTGGATGATCCGTCATCTTTGCGAGAAGCGACCTGATGTTCGTGCTAACCAGTGAGGCCACAGTCATTTTCGATGGGGGTGTGCAACTAAGCGCTGCTTGCCAGTTGCCGCACTTCTTTTTTCTTTTGAATAGGAATCAGAAAATGTGCCAAAGTAAAATACATAGTATTGAGCAAATAAAGCTTAAAACTGATTGACTGGGACCGCAAATAGATCGTTCAAGCGGTCATTATGTATTATTCACAAAAAAGCAAAATATATCCGAGAGGGAGGAGATGTAGCGCCGTCAAACCGTGTCTTTGACACAGACTAAAGTAACTCATAACTGGATCAAATAGTTTTACGAGGTTGCCCTGGATACAGTGCACATCATGGAAGCACACGATTCGTCACATTATGTTCAGGTTATTGTCTTGTTATCGTGTTGGAGGAATAATTGATCCAAGGTAATAGGCCTCCAATTCAACTTAACCGCTGCCTTGCGGTTAGGTTCTTGTCAGAAATAAAGGCTTTGGTTGAGAACCATAATCGTTCTCCTGCTAAGTGACTGGACACACTGGCAGTACCCGTCCATAAAACTCCAATGAACACCCAAACTAAAAATAATTTCATACTGCATCGGTCGTCGCGCAGGATAATCAGGACCGCGCTGCCCATTGCATCAAGCGGGGTGAGTGGTGATAAGTGGACTACTGCTCAGATATCTCAATCTTTGTTTAACTCTTTGTCTTCCGTACCCAAACCTATCCCTTGACCATGAAGCTCTTTTGCGATCGCTGCTTAGCAAAGGAATGCCGCAGAAGTATGAAAACGTATTGCGGTCGCTGTACCTGCATTAGCGAGCGCTCAGCCTAAGTGCCAAGGCTGAGCGCTCGCTTCTTGACTGGATTCCAGTCAGTAGCCGATTGTGCGCTGTACACCTCAAC